AGTAGACAAATTGTTCATCTTGGTGTCAACTTTTTAAAATATATTCCAAATTTAGGTTTAGACCTAGATTTCCTGTGTTCACTGAACATGGAAAGATTATAGTGTGACCCAGGCATGATGTCTAATATGAACATATCTTGTTAGTTCCTAATTTATGTCTCTTGTCAAAAAAATCTACTTTGAAGTTTACTTTCAATTTTTTTTAGTAGGGTTAGACCATATCTTTACACATTTTCAAATTAATAGTAAGTACAAATGTACTACTTAAAGTTAACGCCAAAAAACTGAAATCCTGATACACAAGTATGAAGCAAAATATAAAAAGCCCAATAGAAAGTTAGTGAAAAAAATAACCAAAGTATTAGCATACCTGAGTATAAAACAAAACATAAAAAAAACAATAGCAGCTTAGCATAAAGAAGTAACATATAGTATTAATCATTATAGCAGCTTTTGAAAATTGAACACAAGAAACTGAATTCCTAGTACACAAGCTTCAGTTGAAATATTAGTAAAAACAAAATCAACAAAGTATAAAATAATCTTTAGCATTAGACGTAAGTAGCTTTTGAAAATTGATATTGTATCAATTCAAATGTGCTGATTCTGGGCTAGTATCAATACTTGATTGTAGTTATGTGTTTGAGATCATTGCTGTTACATTTTCAGTAACTGTTTAGATGACGAGCAACAATAAAAACCAGTAATTTGACATATTGAAATCTTCGGTATGATCTTTTATATACATCCATTACATTCAATGTTTCCCATGGAAATCTTCTTAATGATTTTTTATCTATACATCAATTACATTTAATGTTTCCCATGGAAATCTTTTGAATGATCTCATGTATTGCTTGATTTTATATTTTTCTGTTCTAAACCTTGCTTACATGTTTTTAATAAAAAAAAGACAGATGGAAAATGGACAGGTATCATTAAAGGTAACCCTTAAGTAAGAATGTCATGTATATAAAAATAAGGAGATGTTGTATGGATGCCAATGATACAACTATCCCCAAGAGACCAAAGGGTGTGCAAGTACACAACTAGTGGTCATTGTACATCCTTCAACAATGAGCAAAACCCATATAACATAGTTCAATCAAAAGCCCCAACATGACAATGTAAATCAATTCAACTAGAAAACCAACGACCTGATTTATGTTCATGTTTGTAGAATAGTTTATCTGTTTCCCTTTGTACATAGTATGTACCTATTTCTTCAGGCCAGTCACTTTGATCTTTTTCCAATTCATTAGTAATTAAATTTTCCATCTAGTTGTGAATTTTTAAAATCCACGTTTCATTTACCTTTTTCATCTGAAGCCAAACTAACTACATAAACATTTAAATTTCATTAAACAAAAATTTCTTTTAAGAGTCATAAATTGAATTTGTGTGAATTAGTTATCCTATATTGCTTGTGAGAGCATGATTGGAAATTTCAAATAGTCATTATATTAATGAATGAAAGGATATGTAGGGTAAACTTCAGCAAGACAGCAACTCATCAACAAAAATTGAAAACGTCTAAAGGTCATCAATAGACGACCTTCGAGCACTTTCCTGTCACAATGCTTATGTTATTATGTCACAGTAAGAACCGATTGTTCGATGACGTCGTTTACACTGATTGACCCAGGTCAACCGGTGTAACTCTATAAAAAACAACTTGAGATTGGTATATAGGCAGGTATCTATATACAATATGTCAAGCTCTCAGTCATCATGAATTAATATAGTTGTGAATGAAATTGCCAGGTTTTCCTACCACCTCTAATTCTCCCAATAAGGAAAGACTGTTGCTGAGGAAAAATTAATGAGTCAGACTCAATATTACAAGGAGGGGAAGAAGGATAAGGTTAAGAATGTTTTTTTATTCAGGAATTTCGGGTATCAGCGTTTCTTTTTTCGGAAATTCAAGATGACACCCCTCCAACACCAAAACCCCCCCCCTTTTTTACAAGTGAACACTGCACTACATTGTAATCATTATGGCACGTTTTAACCATGCAGACATGAATCTTTTGACTGAGTTGACAACAGACATCTCGAACACTTTCTCTGGTGATAGATATGATACAGGGGCGGATCCAGAACCTCGAAGTCTGGGGGGGCACCATGAAACCAAAATTAAAGATTTGTTTAGATATGTATATATGCGAGTGTGGGTGGTGGTGGTGTCATGTATTGGGGATGATGGTGGTCGTGGAAGGGGGGGTCAGGTCTTCATTTCTATATCTTTTCATTATTTTTGGATCCATTTCTTTCTACTCTTTTATTTGCTGCCAATTGTCCTCTATTCTTTATAGTTCATCACACCTTTAATCTGTTTTCTATATTTTTGGGGCACATTTTTTTCTAGTCTTTACTTTTTGACCATTATTCTCTAATCTGTAAACCCCATTCATACCCTCATTCACGGTAAACCATTCATACCCTCATTCATGGTAACCTATTCATACCCTCATACATGGTAATTAAACAAGAAAAAAATGTGTATACACATATTACTGTACTATAATAGAAAAAGAATGGATATTGGGTATCCATCCACGACACAAAATCAGTACATGCACAGCAGAAAAACACACAATAAGCAAAGGAACAGCGCTTTTGTTGCTGTTCTTTATCTCAAATATGAGTATAGGTTTTCTAAAAGTACAATATCATTTTATTAATGATATATATATAAGGCACAGACCATTCATGTTTTGTGGAGGGGGACTTAAGGTTTTTTTTAAAGACAAATCATTGGTTTCTATAAAAAAAATAAAGGGAAAAAACACGACATTCAGTTTAAAAAAATGCTGTATGCATTGAAAAAAAATCGTTTGTTGTTTAATAAAGTCCGAAAAAGACTTCTGAGAAAGACACATTCCCCAGAAACCGTATACAATGTGAGTGTTTGGTAATAAAGACGTATCTCATATCGATGCTAACATTCCTGACACTAAACATCTATTTTTACATATTCTTTTCAGACCGATTTTAGTTGGTAATGTCTTTCCTGATCAGAAGATTTCTCTTGTTAATCGATCTTGATCATGTAATATTGTATTAGAAATCAATAAATATATTCGTATTAATTCCAATCAGCATGTAGATGTACATGTAGTTTACATAAATGCTTTTGGATATAGACATTACACAAAGGTGTCAATATTTACACAACCATCGATAAGTTGTCATAAATCACGCATGTTGAAGCTGGGGTTAATTAACGACCAGTTTAGGAAGTCAGATCAAGCTGTGTCTTGATTTTAGATCTAGATATCTAGCTATATCGATAGATAAACAGATACAGTAGCAATAAAACTATGTTAGAAAAATTTTTGGTGACCCCGACTGGGGGGGCACGTGCCCCCTGTGCCCCCCCGGTAAATCCGCCACTGTGATAATGAAACTAACCTATCTCTCTTCTTTTGTTACTATATTTGAGCTGAGACACCCTTGCAGGAAACTGCCTATATCTAAATATACAGAATGTGCCACACTTTGCAGAGCCATCTTACAAGTAATTTTGTCTTACTTTCCACATGAAATTGTTAGTAAATTAATTATATACATTTTCACTAAAATAATTTTAAATATTTCTGACTTGTTTTTGGACAATATATCTCATGTTTTATGTTGTTAAGCTGATATATAAGTCCTAGAAAGTAGAATTTTAATTATTAATGTAGGACCACTTATTTACTCCTGAACAAACATTTGATGTTCATTTCTACAGAGATTAATATTGATATGAATATCATTGCCTTCAATTTACTTAACTATAAAATGTCTTTCTCAATGTTAAATGTTCAGTGATATGAATCTGAAATCTAGCCATGCTGGCAGATCTTTTATTGAAATATATGTATTACTTTTATATTGTGACTGTAGTTGGATTATATAATTTGGACTATCTATAAAGATGTCTGCCCTTGCCTTGTTTGTAATTAGTTGGACTTAAGTTGAAACCCATTGAGAATTAAGATTTTGATTTTATTTTCATGAATAGATATAAAATGAAATCAAACTATCCATTAATGTTATTTAAAAGGTATTTATTAGATGTAACATTTAGATATTGAGTTTATATATTATTTTGTCAATAACAGGTAATGTGCAACTGAAAGAAACAGTACTTATGTGCATGAATGTTTCTTTATGGAACTCTCCTGTTATTTTGGACATTAGAATCAAATGTATAGTGGGGGTGGGGGATTGTGGTTTTGATAAAAAAAAACCAATAAACAAAAATTATTCCACTTTGAACTATTGTACTGGAATTAATTCAACTGTGACTATTTGATACTGCATCAGGGGTGTATGATTTGTGTCCTATTATTTCATCAAAGATAATTCTTGCTTCAGTTATGAAAGGATGATTTTGTCCGGTGAGTGATTCAGGTTCCTGTGAACCTCTACTTTCATATCTTATTTATATGTAGGTACATTTAGTGCTTGTCAGATATTTGTGGATGTCAACAACTGTTCTGCATGATTGATGGATGGATGACTGTTTAACGTCCAGTGGCATATTCAGGATGAGAACATGTTATTGTGATATGAATATGAACCCTGCTTTGTACTAGACCGACACGCTGAGCCAGATTTTTATCTTGCTAGTTCACAATGAAACAGTCTGCAGAAAGACATATCACTCTACCCAGACCCATTATTCTGACTCGTAGCCAACCAGTCTTTGCTATTACTCCTTAATGCTGCGTGTTTAGCGAAGAAGCAGCAAATACTAATTTTACAGTCTGTGGTTTGACCCACACAAGGTTCAAACCCACAACCACCCTCACTCAAGGCGAACACTCTACCATGAAACCACTGAGGCAGTTTGTTCTACATGAAGATTGGTATGAGGCTTATTGTATAAAGTGGCTGCAAATTGGTTTTTGTTAGGCCGTTCAGGTTTCTTTTTCATAAACATGTTCCACACATCTCCTTTGTTTCATATTTCAATTATTTTTTGACACAATGTTATTGTTTATTTACAGGATATAAAGCCTACAAATAATGTGGAGTCAGGAGAACACGTCCTAGGAAGTCTGGCCAGAATGACTGTTTTAATTACTCATTTAATTGTAGAATTTGCTAAAAGTTTACCAGGATTTGACCGTTTGTCAAAAGATGATCAAATTATATTGCTCAAGGTAGGTTTTTTTCTTCAATTCATTCACAGTTTTACCAATGATATTCATCTTATGACAAATGGATATTTCATGCCCTCTACTGCTGAAAGTTTTTTTTTTCACCAATAAAATTGACTGTCAAATGTTCATTTACAAATGAGAAGATGTGCACTGGTATGATTACCAATGAGACAACTAAGTTCAAATGAAGTGGATGTAAGCAATTATATGCAACCGTACAGCCTTCAACAATGAGAAAAACCCATACTGTATAGTTCTCTATAAAAGGCCCCAACATGAAAAATGTGAAACAATCCATTGGTCTTCTTAGGTTCTTTAGTATCCTCCATTGATACTTTCAACCAAAGTTTGCTTGTTTACAGTAAAATACCGCGTCCTTTTTGGTTTCTTCTCCCTATTACACTTACAGCAGTAGGTTAGCAAATATGTGTGTGTTTACCTCAAATAAAATGGACAACCAAAAGTCGAAGTTCTGAACTTTTGTTCCATTATTACTCAGCTTCTGTATCATGGAATGATTTGATATTTAGATTTGATCTTTATAAGAGGAGTTGTGCAGGATTTTCAGATCTGCTGAGCAGTTCCTGATTTTCTATTTGACAATTATTTTCTCTTCAATTAATGATGATGAGTAGGATAGCTGCTGATTAAAAAAAGTAATGTCTTTCCTGCTTTTTTATATGATATCCCATTTTGGAGTATATTTTACAATATATTTAAGGAATGGCTGTAATATTTTTTCTGTCTATTCCATATAACATCAAAAATATGGTTCACACTGAATAACCTGTGTAGAGGGTTATTTAAAAGTGTGCACCACATTTTTGAGGTTATTTCAAATAGACAGAAAAAATATTACAGTCATTCCTTATAATTTAATTCTAAATTCCGTTTTAAAGGAGTAAATCCTGAAAAAAAGGTTGATGATGTCACTGTCACATGACAAAATTATGTCTATGAGCTGATAGATAAAAAACTTTCAGCCAATCAGACGACATGTTACATCCAAATTAAAATTATTTACTAATATTGTTTATATTTTCCTGCAGTGTGCCTCTAGTGAAGTTATGGCTATCAGGGCCAGTAGATGTTATGAACCTACTAGCAAAGCAATTGTGTTAGCCAATGGAACTCCACTAACAATGGATAATATGATAGCTGCTGGTCAGCCACAAGAATATACAGAATTAGTGTTTAAATTATGTGAAGATTTAGCCAAGCTGGGTTCTGACAATGCAGAGTATGCCTTGTTTACTGCCATTGCAATATTTTCATGTAAGCAACCTATTAATGTAAATTCATAAATTATTGCGTGCATTTATTGTTGCGATTTTTAAAGAATGGACAAAAATATGTGATTAATTATTGCAATTTCAGAAAAAGCTGCATAGAGTTATATGTATCAAATGTCAGAAGCGAGTTTGTATTGTTGCGATACTTACGCAGTTGTTTTATTCGCATTAATGAAAACCTCGCAATAATTTCTGAATTTACAATATATGTAAGAAACTTTTAGAAATTTCAAGGATTCTAGATAAAATTTTGTTCATGGCTCACTTTAAAGCAGCTTCGTACAAGTACTTAATTGCGAGTGGGCTAAACCTCGCAATAAATTCTGAATTTACAGTATATATAAGGACCTTTTAGAAATTTCAAGGAATATAGAAATTTTTGTACATGACTCACTTTACAGAACCTTCTTACAAAATTAAGTACTTAATTGAGAGTGGGCTAAACCTTTCAATAATTTCTGAATTTACCGTATATGTAAGAAACTTTTAAGAAATTTCAGCGATTCTAGAAAATATTTGTTCATGACTCACTTTATAGAAGCTACTTACAAGTAATAATTGCGAGTGGGCTAAATATTTAGGATTGATATCAAAACAATTGAGCAAAACTGTGAAATCAAGAAACTAGCTATATATAGGAAAAACTGTTTCATTCAACATTCAAAATGTTACTGACCTCACAGGAATTCAACTACCTCACACCTATTCTAATAATAATTTCAATGTTTATGTAAATTTATTGTAAACAAAAACAAAGATGGTATATAATATGAAGCAGAAATGGACAGAAAGTTGTTTGTAATATTGTACCTAGCTCAAAATGATAAAAGATGAGGGGATGTATTTTGAACTGGGATTATACTGGTCCACACATCAGTTTAATGAAATTTTTGTTACATTTTTCTCAGGAACAATAAATCAGATCTTCCTGAAATTTAGTATAAAGCTTCATGTGACTGCAATGCAGTGTGAAATGTCTTCACATCCATTGCTCGTCTATTTCCTGTTAACTGAATGCGTGTATACTATAACATATAAATTCAAATTCCTGTTAACAAATACTTATCATGCTTATAGGAGGGGCTCCATTAGTCAACTTGAGCTCACAGTACATCCTGTTGTTTTATATTCTTTGAAGCCTTATTCATTTAGAAGTACACCCAAATTGCAGAAAACTATTGTTTTAATGTAGTTCATGTTTGAAAAATGTTCAATGTTGCTTGGTTTGAAAAAACAAAATCAAACAAAGGGTAAAACTAAAAACAATAGTTTGTTAAACTAAAATCTTTAGGGAATTTGGTATATACACTAATAATGAAGATTGATATTATGAATTTTATTGACTAATTTCCTCAAATTACATGTTAATTTGTTCTCATCCTGAACATGCATTTATTTGCCACTGGATGTTAAGCAACCAACAATCAATCAATCAATCAAAATACAGTGGGGTTCCTTTATTTTCATGGGTACCAATCCCTTGGATTGGGTTGGGGGAGGAAAAGGGGGGGGGGGAAGGAAAGGTATTTATGTGGATACTTTATTTCTTGTTTTTGATAAATTCTGCATTCAAACCTATTGGTTATTAAAATTCATATTTTGTTTAATACAAAAATTTATGGTCAACCTTAACACATGGAATCTTTGAAAAATTAGTACCCCTGGAATACTATTGGTAGTGAATTCTCAACATGTGTTGCTTTCCTAATTATATCACGAGTAGTGCATCCCTCTTTATTGAGATAAAAAGAAATTATACCACATGTAAGTTTACTTGGTAATGTTTTAATTCTGTGCCAACTTCAATCTTTTTTAATTTAAAGAATTAAACACAATGCTGTTTTTTTTCAAGAAATATGTTGCATTTATTTAATTAATTAGAATATGTACTTTTGTCTGTCTGCTGGTTCAACTTTTACTATCAGTTTCAGATTACATATATTGATTTTTCACATTCGTTACTTAGTAAAGCTGCTGTCATATCTTTAATTTTTTTTATTTTTGTGTGAAAATAACCTTCTGTTATATTATACCTTGCATGCGTAAATAAGATCTTTAGGAATAGATTTACATATTGTTGTCATGTTTATTTTACATAATCATGACTTATTATGGCTAAATGTAAAACTTGAAGGTTTTCCATGATGAATTTTGACTAGATAAAAACAATATATACCCATTTTAAAATTACTGTTATTTTCATGGCAATCAGATTATTTTACATTTTACTCAGCTGAGGAAACATAAATAAAAATAAATCCGCTGAATTAAATGAAACCTAAAACATTAATAATGGCATGAAAATCTCTTCTTAAAACACAAAAAGTTACTTAAATGTTTTAAGCTTTGCATTTTCTATAGAAAGATGGATTTATTTCCTCTAGGTTATGTTTGAAGATACTATTTAAAATGATATAAATGAAAAAGGCTCTTATTGTAATATATATCCTCGAAATGAACATGCTAGGATGTCTAAAATAACTTTCTATATGTATACATGTATAAGTATCTCTTAGGAATATAGACTAAACTGCTTTTGTTTTCTGTGTTGAAAAAAAAAAAACGTTCAAAAGTCTGCATTAAAGTTGTTTTGCATACCAGTACACTATTTTGAAATAAAACCTACAAAATTTTGAAGCAAGATATCTCCATGCTTAAGAGAATACCATTTGACTCTCCCAACACTTTAATAATAGCAACACAATATATTTTTAAGGATGACCTAAATGCTAAAATTTACGAATGTAGATTTATAGATGAAAGAATTATATTACCTCAACAAAATTCAATCAGACATAAACCCAACCACAGAAATAATCAAGAAATCAAAACAGCAACATAAAGTTTCCAACAACAACTAAATGTCCATGCCATAAGTCTGCTCAAAATTGTCCCAAGTCTAAAAAAGTTTCGAGTAAATTAAACAGACTATCTGTAACCAAGATCCAGAGCACTGTTAGATAAGGGGAAGCTGACTCGTATGTGCTTGAACCAAGGAACAGGGGGTCAATCTATCACTAGATTTAATGATCTGATAGGCATAGCTAAAACGCAAGGAAGGTTTTCATAATTTAATTAACGATAACAATTTAGAGGAATGATGATAACAATCAATTAGTGAACAATGCCAAATAATAATAATCTAATTAAAGTACAAGGTATAAAAGCCAAATATCAAATCCAAAGTAAAACTGTTTCTCCTTACAATGTAAATATAAAATAAATGCCAAAACTACTAAATCATAAAATGAACTTAATTTAAAAAAAAAAATCAAAATCAAACTGTAGTAGACAGTCTTTAATAATAGGTCCAGTATAATGACATGAATAGTGAGAGGTTACGCTTCCCAAACACTGACTACTTTTCCAAAATTTCACAATGCTATTTATACTAAAACTCAAAATAAATAAATATGTGTCGACATGTAAATACTCATCCCAGGGATTTAGTATTTTAAAGCAAAAATAGACTTTAAAATACTAAATCCCTGGGATGTGTTTTGGTTGATTTTAGTCTCTGATGCATGATTTTTTATCATTAATTGTTTTTGGCTTTTAACTAGCTGTCAGTAACTGCGAGTACTCTCAAATCGTACTTTCTTTGTTAATTTGACCTGTTGGTACTATTTGTAATGCTTTTTATGCCCCCGCCGTAGCGGAGGGGGCATTAAGTTTTTCCCTTGTCCACCTGTACGTCCGTACATCCGTCCGTATGTACATCCCAAAGTTGGTTTCCGTTCTCTAACTTGATATTGCCTCAACTAAATGTTATGAAACTTATACACAATGCTTATTAACACAAAATACAGATCAAGTTTGAATATTGGGGGCGTCACATTAACCGTTCTAGAGTTATGCCCCTTGACAAATGGGAAAATTGCTGAATCTTTTGTTTCCGTTCTCTGACCTAAGTTTGTCTCTACCAAATGCTGTGAAACTTATACACAATGCTTATTACCACAAATTACAGATCAAGTTTGAATTTTGGGGATGTAACTTTTACTGTTCTAGAGTTATGCCCCTTTACAAATGGAAAAATTGCTGAATTTTTCGTTTCTGTTCCCTCACTTAAGGTAGCCTTAACCAAATGTTATGAAACTTATACACAATGCTTATTACTACAAAATACAGATCAAGTATCAAAATTATTTATTTCGTAAAGATATTTCCTTTCTCCTTTTAAAAGAGGGACGAAAGATACCAGAGGGACAGTCAAACTCATAGATCGAAAACAAACTGACAACGCCATGGCCAAAAATAAAAAGACAAACAGACAAACAATAGTACAGATGACACAACATAGAAAACTAAAGACTAAGCAACACGAACCCCACCAAAAACTGGGGGTGATCTCAGGTGCTCCGGAAGGGTAAGCAGATCCTACTCCACATGTGGCACCCGTCGTGTTGCTTATGTTATTACAAATCCGGTTAATAGTCTAATTCGGTAAGTCACATTCGTGAAAAGGGAAGGGTATTGTAGTTATGACATAAGGAACATATCTGATATCATCTGTGAAACGGTTATTCCATAACGGTCAACCAACTCTTGATGGCGTCCGTAAAATTTACGAAGGGATGATTTCAACTTCACCATTTGGAACTCTTGGTTTAATAGCTTCCTTGTGTATACCTAACAACAAAATTATTTTCATTTATCTGTGTATAATATTATTGTAAATGGCGGATTTTTGTTTAAGGTTATTGTTGTTTTTCTGAAATTGTTTAACATTTCACAGCGGTATAATACTGTTACTTTAATTATTCATCCCTTATTTTATTGATTTTGTGTTTATATTGTATCATAGATCAAATTTATTCGTTCAGTGTATGTTCACTTGTGTTAATGTGTCTTTTGATTGAGTTAAGACATTTCAATTGATATTCTATAGTGTGTCTTTCTATGTTGTGATGTTACACTATTGTTTCAGATAAGGGTGAAGGTTTGGTATCATTAAAACGTTTAAACCTGCCGCAATTGTTTGCACCTGTCCTAAGTCAGGAATCTGATGTTCAGTAGTTGTCGTTTGTTGATGTGGTTCATAAGTGTTTCTCGTTTCTCGTTTTTAGCTCACCTGACCTGAAAGGTCAAGTGAGCTTTTCTCATCACTTTGCGTCCGTCGTCCGTAAACTTTTACAAAAATCTTCTCCTCTGAAACTACTGGGTCAAAATTAACCAAACTTGGTCACAATCATCATTGGGGTATCTAGTTTAAAAAATGTGTCCGGTGGTCCGGTCAACCAACCAAGATGGCAGCCATGGCTAAAAATAGAACATAGGGGTAAAATATAGATTTTGGCTTATATCTCTGAAACCAAAGCATTTAGAGCAAATCTGACATGGAGTAAAATTGTTTATCAGGTCAAGATCTATCTGCCCTGAAATTTTCAGATGAATCGGACAACCTGTTGTTGGGTTGCTGTCCCTGAATTGGTAATTTTAAAGAAATTTTGCCGTTTTTGGTTATTATCTTGAATATTATTATAGATAGAGATAAACTGTAAACAGCAATAATGTTCAGCAAAGTAAGATCTACAAATAAGTCAACTTGACCAAAATGGTCAGTTGACCCCTTAAGGAGTTATTGCCCTTTATAGTCAATTTTTAACCATTTTTTGTAAATTTTTGTAATCTTTTACAAAAATCTTCTCCTCTGAAACTACTTGGCCAAATTTAACCAAACTTGGCCACAATCATCATTGGGGTATCTAGTTTAAAAAAAGTGTCCGGTGACCCGGCCAACCAACCAAGATGGCCGCCATGGCTAAAAATAGAACATAGGGGTAAAATGTAGATTTTGGCTTATATCTCTGAAACCAAAGCATTTAGAGCAAATCTGACGGGATAAAATTGTTCATGAGGTCAAGATCTATCTGCCCTGAAAATTTCAGATGAATCGGACAACCTGTTGTTGGGTTGCTGTCCCTGAATTGGTAATTTTAAGGAAATTTTGCCGTTTTTGGTTATTATCTTGAATATCTTGAATATTATTATAGATAGAGATAAACTGTAAGCAGCAATAATGTTCAGCAAAGTAAGATCTACAAATAAGTCAACTTGACCAAAATGGTCAGTTGACCCCTTAAGGAGTTATTGCCCTTTATAGTCAATTTTTAACCATTTTTCGTAAATTTTTGTAATCTTTTACAAAAATCTTCTCCTCTGAAACTACGAAGACAAATTTAACCAAACTTGTCCACAATCATTATTGGGGTATCTAGTTTAAAAATTGTGTCCGATGACCCTGCCCGCAAACCAAGATGGCCGACATGGCTAAAAAATAGTACATAGGGTAAAATGCAGTTTTTGGCTCATATCTCTGAAACCAAAGCATTTAGAGCAAATCTGACAATTTTGTCATGAATCCATCTGTGTCCTTTGTTTGATATGCACATAGACCAAGGTGAGCGACACAGGCTCTTTAGAGCCTCTAGTTTATATAGATTAGACTGTTGGTTTTCCAGTTTGAATGGTTTTACACACGTCATTTTTAGGGCCCTTTATATCTTGCTGTGCAGTGTGAGCCAAGGCTTCGTGTTAAAGACCGTAATTTGACCTATAATGGTTTACTTTTATAAATTTTGACTTGGATGGAGAGTTGTCTCATTGGCACTCATACCACATCTTCTTATATCTATTTAATTAACAAAGCCTAATCCTATAATGTTATGATAAAAACTTAAACTATCCTAGTGACATGTTAACTACAATTAATATTTCAAAACAAATTACTTTGAACAAACTGTGACATGTCGAGTACTTGCCACTACATATAGGTAAAATTAATTAAACAAATAAATTAAAATTTTACAAAATACAAACATAAAATTTTCTTTCTAAAGATAAAACATATTTTTAATACCAAATAACGCTAACAAAAATGTAAGCCAAATAACACACCATGACAACTGTCAAGGATCTATCATCAACCCAAAGTTCTCAAATAACCAACAAAAAAAGTCTATTTAAAAATATGACATAAGATCACCATTGAAGAGGTTCCAGAATAGGGAAATGTACTTGGATATGGAATTACTAAACATTTTCAAGATGAAAAGCACATCATAAGATTCATTCATTAAAACATCACAGTTTTTTACTTATGAGCTTTCTTTTAACATGTTTAAAATGTCAAAAATGACTTTTTAATTCTGAGAGGTGTTTATTTCATTTGGCATTTTTAGAAGGATTATTGCCTCATTGAAGACAAAAACATATAGTGTAGAATGTAATGATTTCGGGGAATGGTTTAAAAATTCTGAAATAACTAAACAAACATTCCACATGTTCATGGGCCTGCATGTTCTAACCTAGGATTCTTTGTTTTATATCTGAAGTTTTTTATATAGATTTTTTACGATTTTTTTTTTTAAGAATATGGTATTGATGGCAGATTTTTGATAGTCTCCTTTGGGATTCACTACAAGACTCCATACAATGTATATCTTGTAATAGTAGTAAAAAGAAAGTCATTTTACATCTCCATACATATACCTATAGAAAACTTGTTCTTCGTTGAACATTTGAATTCGTGGTTTACCTTACCCACATCATCCATGAAAATTGGTATCCCATGGCTAATAATGAATCTACAGGAATAGATAATAAAATCACAAGCACAATAAAATTATATCCCATCAATGAATGCTCGCAGTTACTCAAATCTATCACAAGGAATGCTAACAATTACTGAAAACAAGCTCAAAGTATTCAACCTACCTATACGTAATCAATTCTGTTCTTACTCCTATGTATGAACTCATAGTTTGTATGTTTTTATTCAAGTAATTTATCTTTTACAGCTGACAGAGGTGGACTTCAAAACAGAGATCTCATTGAAGAGATTCAAAAAATGTACGTTGACGCATTAAATGAATATGAAACTAAAAAACGATGTCGTGGTGGAAGTGCCTTAGCAAAGTATCTTCTTTTGTTGATGGACCTGCGGAATATAAGTGTTGAGCACTCTAAAATGTTAACAGTTTTACCTATCCCAGAGTCTAACATGCCGAATGTAGTTAAAGATATATATATACAAGATGATGATGTATAATGTTCAATTTTTGTTATTACATGTGGCAGCTGTGGAGACTTGAGACTTGATTACAGATTATCTAGTTAATAACATGTAGTTGATTACAGATTATCTAGTTAATTTCTCATGTAGCTGATTACAGATTATCTAGTTAATTACATGTAGTTGATTACAGATTATCTAGTTAATAACATGTAGTCGATTACAGATTATCTACTTAATAACATGTAGTCCATTATAGATTATCTAGTTAATTACCTGTAGTCGATTACAGATTATCTAGTTAAATATTTGTAGTTGATTACTGATTATCTAGCAAATTACATGTAGTCAATAACAGATTATCTAGTTAACTACTTGTAATTGATTACTGATTATTTAGTTAATTACATGAAGTCGACTACTAATTATCTAGTTATTACTGACTATCTAGTGAATTACATGTAGTCGATTACTAATTGTCTAGTTATTTACATGTAGTCGATTACAGATTATTTAGTTAATTACATGTAGTCGAACCATTAACTTTTTTTTTATTATCCTTGTAATTTTCAGTTGTTTGGAACAATATTTCCAATTAATCTTTCGTTTGCTGAGAAATTTGAATACAACACAAAAAGTCTATGCAATAAGCAAATTTTCCCTTTTATAATTAGTATTCTTAAGCATGAATTTTTAACTAGTATGCTGTAATCATGACCAGTCTCTCAGTAACCTTGTTTGTTATTTGCTCAGAGTATGATCTTGTATGCATGTTGATGTCCAAAGGGAGGTAAATCTAGTAAATAAATTGAAACTATTTATGCTGTATTTGTGCTGAGTCTAACTCAGAATATTTACTCCTATTATGTTTAACTTAGTGCTAATTTTAGACATATTCCATATGGATATGGTCTACAAAGTTTTATCTACATCAGACATTATTATTCAGGGATTTTATCAGCATACAAAGTAAATTATGATTGAATGTTTTTAGTAGGATTCATATTGTATTATCATCTGTATTTATTATTTCATCTTATGTATTGTATTGCCATATTTTTATTGTTTTCTTTAATTTCAACCTTTTTTCCAGTTCTTTAAACATTTAAGTAAATATTTAACTCAAAAGAATTATTATTCTTGAGCTTAAATTTTTAACTAGTATCTGGTAATCATGGCCAGTCTCTCAGTAACCTTTTTTGTTATTTGCTCAGACTCAAAAGTTTAAAGGTGTTTTTTTCACCGAAATATAGTAGCAGATATGTGTTACTTCTTGATTTATTATCTTCTTTTGAAGAAAAAATGAATTCAATAGAATAGTTATGGATATACGATAGAATTCCAATTTGATAACAGAAAAACATCAAATTTATTATGAAAAAAAAAAATTTGATATCCTACGCAATGGACTTTTGTTGTAATGTAAGGAAGAAAGGATGTAGGTTATAACGAATCGTCAATCAGTTGTCTGGAAAGTTTTACAATCTATCTGTTTCAAACACATTTGAAATTAAAGAAGGGTTTGTAATATATTCTTTATAAATCTGAAACAAATGTAACATCTGACAGTGATTAGTTGCTTCTTTACGGTTTGTTAAATATATTTTGGAAAGATTGGAAAAATGTTGCTATGATATTATTTATGAAGAAGCAAAAATCGTTTTTCTATTTGGTTCAAAACTGAAAAAAATATAGTTCCCAGAAAAAGTGTTCGTCCTTACTTGAGTTAATAAAGTGATTGCAGTACATACATTTCATACACAAAGCCCCAGTTTATTTCCCTATTTGAAAAAAAGGAAAAGATGCATTTATCAAAATAGTATATATTTCCACACATGCAGTAGTATGGCAGAGTTGTGTAGTAATTGAGTAGTGTATATTTTTTTACAAAGGAAATACTTGATGTTTCAGTGGGTAAACAGTGTTATGCAAAAATTAGTGTTAAGACCAATGAATACAGCTTGGGAGGTATGCATATGACCTTTATCAAAAGCAATAATTTCTGGATATTTTTTCAGTCCTCTGAGCATAAACTATTATTGCAAATATGTTCAAAAAAATTGAAAATGCAAGTTGATATAGTTACAGTGTGTATACGGTTAAGTTTTATGCAATGTTTATTAAAAATTTCTCTGCATCTGTTATTATTCCAAATGTGTTAAGACTGAAGAAAAATAGATACCTGATCTACAAAATTACCCAAGAATAAATGCAATGAAGGAAATAAATGGACCGAATTATGCTAAAAGCAATGAACCAATAACAAAAATGGTGCACAGCAACCTGCAATGACAACCTCTGAATTGCAGTCTTTTCATTATAATATGACTCTGATATTCAGATCAGTTGTTCTAAATATAGAAAAAAATATAACAGCTGTTGACAGGTATTATCTCAATTAAACAGAAACTTACAATTAAAATATTCAGTTGATATAATATTTTTAATATAGGTGAATATTAATACTTTCTAAATCTGATTTCTTTTTCAATTATATTTATGCCCTTAGATATAGATAGTCATAGTTATTTTCTATTGTCTTTCAAGGATGTATTAAATATTATTTTAATCTTAAATAAATTAAACCAAGGAGTAAAATTGTCAATCAAAGAAAATAATCCTCAGAAACATATGAAATTAAGGATATAGTCATTAAAATTCCACTTAAACAAATAGAAATTAAGAACACTAGACGACTAAGCATTTCCTGATTCACAAGATTTCCTATATAAGTTTCACAGTTTTTTATTTTTAAAGTCTAAAGACAAATTTAAGTAGGAGTGATAAAAGACTGATCCATGGCCATCTGTGACAAAAAAATAAAAAGGTTTTACAGTAAATATTTATAGATATATATACACAAGGGTCTGGATGGGATTAAAAGAATAGAGTATAATGAGCAGAAAAAGCAGAATAAAGGGCTAAAAAAATTAGATTAGAGAAAAATAGACCCAAAAAATAAAGAATAGAGAATAAATTAATATTGGGTGCTAAAATATAAAGAATAGAGAATAATTGACAAAATAGATAAAGAATAGAGAAAAATGACTAAAAAAATAAAGAATACAGAAATGAAAGACCCCATCCGGACCTTCATACACATATTAAATGCAATATTTAGAATAAACATAACACCACAAACTATCACTTACCAGGAAGGAGATGTAATGGTGCTTAGGTTGTACATTAATAAGAAATAGGTGGATATTGCCATTCTATTGTTGGACCAGGTTTCCCTTCTTTTTACCTATTGACAATTCTAACCAATACACATCAGCTTTTGAAACGCAAGGATACTTTACTTAGTATTAGATAAGATTTTTGCATCTTGTTTCTCATCTTGTTTCTCATCTTATATCCTTTCTTTAAAAATTGTTTCACAAAAGTTGTATATGTTTATATTGTTGAATAATATATTGGCTTCTTTTTACTTAGAAGAAAGGTCATTTAAGGATAATTTTGATTAACAAATATTATGTAAACACTTTCAAATATCTTCAAATAAGTTTTTATTTGGTATTTTGGTATACAATATTGTGATATGAGTAAAGGGGAATAACTCTTGCTGATTTATGGTTGATAGTGCTATGAGAAATAAAGTGCTAGATGAAGTGCTATGAGGAATGACATGTTAGATTAGTGCTATAAGGATAATTTGGTGCATAAATGTTTTATGTGAATATTGTTGAATGAATTTTTAATGTGTTAGTTTTTATATTGTTAGCGATACATATATTTGTTGCTCTGAATATCAGGGATAATAGAATTATGCCTTTTGTAAATAGAAATATTTGTTTATAGGGTTTTAAATATCAATTTGTGACATATATATTTGCTCATTTCATTTTATTTCCACATAAGATAACAATAAAAATCATGTATTTAATATAATTTAATTTTGCAATGAAAGCATTTGAGATGCTGTAAGAATGGAGATTTGTAAGAAATAAAGATATTTGTTGGTTAGGCAGCATGTTCCTGTTAGGTGTTTAAGCCATAAGCTATTGATTGCTAACACTTAAAAGTATGTTTCTCTTTTTTCTGATATAATAGTTTGTATACAGATGTGGATAAACTGTACTTTTCATGTTGTGAACTTAATGAACTATTTCCTGCAAATCACACAATCTGCATTTAATGTACTGGTATTTCAGTGTCCGTTTCACAATATGTAAATTGTCCTCAAGACACCACTCTTATAAAGTAGTGACAGGTATCGACCTGAAAAAAACTGATATTCATTCTGTCATTGAAGGGGGTATGATGAATTTAGATGGGGATAAAAGATCAATTCATGTTATGAGCCACTATTTGGTCCTTGATTTACTAAAAATATACAAATTCAACAATTTTGAATAACCAATACTTGTCAAAATTAATGCTTGACAGCTAAACTCAATTATTTTTCTTGCTTATAGTCTCCGAAGGAATACATATGCAGATTATTGGCTGCAGTTTGCAAAAATAAAATAAAGCTTAATTGCTTGTAGGATATCTTTGGAGATATGTGACTAGGACAAATCTATAGTATTCTGAATAAGATTTTACAGAATGAAAACTACTATAGTTTTATAATAATGTTTTGTTTTGGTTTATTGAATATTTTCCATCAAACTTGCCACACACAAGATATCATATCATAAGGTGTCAAAAATTATATTTTAATGCATTTAATGTATTTTAAGTAAATTTTTGGTGATTTAAAAAAAAAAAATTTCAGCTTTATATCTACAAACAATTCGCACTAGACCATGTGCTGAAAATGAAGTTCTGTAGGAAGACATTTTTACAAAGTTGTTATTCACGACTAAAAAATTTATTTTTAAATTGGCTGACTCACAATTCAACATTTTATAAAATCTAGATATCCATACTCACTGATTTCATCAAGAAATTTGTTCAGACACTAAAAAAGAGCAACAAGACATGTCAACCAAGAAAACAAAAAAACATGTAATTAATACATGGTCATATACAAGGATCCAGACATTTTTCAATTTAGGTAATGTCTGGCAAATATGACCATTTCGGGACCCTTGATCATATATATTCAGTAAAATAGTGGACAGCTAGGTCCTGTCTCGCTAATATGACCATTTCCAGACCCTTGATCATATATATTCAGAAAAATAATGGACAGCGAATTCAATTTTTTATGGCATTATTATTCTACCTCTCTTTGATATCAATTGACAAAGAATCCATATTGTATTAATATTGTTAAACATCATTTGTTAGTAATGTCAACAACAGATTATAGATTTGTATGAAGATTATGAGAATTTTTACTGTTTGTTTGTGTATTTTGTGTATGTGTGTTGATTGATAGACAAAGAGAAGCTCCATCATAGTATTACAGCAATTCGTCGTACCAGAATTTAATGCATTCTTGGTAATATTTTCAAAAGTGTACACCAAAATGCTGTGATTGGCAACATCCCAAACAATTTAAATTCAATTAATGATGTGAGGTTGTTTTCATTTTAAGGTACGAACAATGATATTACCAATTATCCTTTAGATTCTGAAATGGCGAATTAAACTTTTACAGGAGTTCCATGTTTGCTGGAATAACTCTCATGTACTTTCAGTGCAGTATTGTAATTGTCCGTTTTAAAAAAAGTACTTTCAGAGATATCACTGTTAAATAGTATAATTATAAAGTTCTTTCATTATCATTGATGAAAAGAAAATGAATTGTAAAACTCTCTCAAAGAATTGAGAAATAATCTTGATTCTCATTGGCTGTTATGGTTGGTAAAGTGTTTATGAGACTACTGTCTTAAAAATATGTAATATTGAGAAAGATTTTATTGTATATAAATAAAATATATCACTATTGTTTGTGTAATCTTGATATTAATTTGTTAAACAAAAAGAGTTGTGCTATTTAAGTTCTAATTAAGAGTTCATATTGTCATTTACTTCTCATGTTGCACACACACACAAAAAAAGAGAGAGAACTTTCCCCAAAAGGTGAAGGTCAACTGAACAGCTAATAATCTTTAATTTGCTTCTCTGTTCTGTATACAATATAACAAAATCTTGAAAAGATCTCAGTTCTAACAATAAATGAAAGAAATCTGTAGAAAGAATGTACCTGTTTATTGAGGACTTCAATTTTTTGGGTTTGAGCGTTTCTGATGAAGGTAAATTCAGAAAAGTGATTCTGAAGTATCAAATTAAAAAGTGCATTTTCCCTATGATTTATTATGGAGAGGCAAATGAAGCAGTTTTTATAAGACCCCAAAAAATTTGCTTTCATATATTGCTATCATGTCGTCGTCGTCCAAAGACATTTGGTTTCCGGACAATAACTTTAGTATAAGTGCATGGATCTCTATGAAATTAAAGCACAAGGTTCAATAGCACAAAAGGAAGGTTGGGATTGATTTTGGGGGTTATGGTCCCAACTGTTTTGGAATAAGGGGTAAAAAAAAAAGGCATTTTTCTAGTTTCCAGACAATAAATTGTGTAAAAGTCTATGAAATTGTACCACAAGGTTCCGTACCACAAAGGAAAGGTTGGGATTGACTTTGGGGGTTATGGCCCAAACTGTTCAGGAATTAGGGGCAAAAAAAGGGCCCCAAAAAAAGATGGACAAATACTTAAGTATTAATCTATGGATCTCTATGAAATTGAAATACTAGGTTCCATACCACAAAGGGAAGGTTGGGTTTGACTTTGGGGTTATGGCTCAAACCGTTCAGGAATAAGGGCAAAAGCGGGGGGTGAGGAACAAGGTTTTTCTGGTTTCCGGACAAATACTTTAGTATTAGTCAATGGATCTCTATGAAATTGTACCACAAGGTTCCATACCACACAGAAGGTTGGGGTTGATTTTGTGGGTTGTGGCTTTAATCGTTAAGAAACTAGGGGCCAAAAACAAGACTTTTCTTATGCTGGCTAAGCTGGTTCTTACATAAATTATTTCTGATCTACCGGTATATAAAGAAACAACAAATACTGATATGTCAGGAGATACACACCAAATAGGGTGTGTAAATTATTATATTTAGTTTGTAAACAGATTTACTAAGTATTGCACAACAGCAAAGTATTGCACAACAGCAAGAAATCTTCAATTGAAAATACATACAAATCTTTTTAACCGATTTCAACGACTGAGGATTAATTTAAAGTCTTGAATTGTTTAAGGTGTTGTTGTATAGTAAAGCATAGTATTGCGCAACAACAAAATATTGCGCAATAGCACAGTATTGGGCAATAGCAAGAAATCTTCAATTGCACAGTATTGCGCAATAGCACAGTATTACACAATAGCACAGTATTGTGCAATAGCAAGAAATCTTCAATTGCACAGTATTGCGCAATAGCAAGAATCTTCAATTATACAGTATTGCGCAATAGCAAGAAATCATTAATTATCCAGTATTACGCAACAACACAGTATTGCGCAATAGCAAGAAATCTTTAATTGCACAGTATTGCATAATAGCAAGAAATCTTAAATTGCACAGTATTGCGCAATAGCAAGAAATCTTCAATTGCACAGTATTGCATAATAGCAAGAAATCTTAAATTGCACAGTATTGCGCAATAGCAAGAAATCTTCAATTGAAAATAAATACAAATCTTTTAACCAATTTCAATGGGATTAATTTAAAGTCTTTAATTTTTGGGGGTTCTAACCTTGTATTACTTTTTTGGATATTGGGCCCCATTTTTAAATTGGTCTACATTGAGGTCAAAAGGGTCCAAAATGAAACTTTGTTTGATTTCATCAAAAACTGAATTATTGCGGCTCTATGATATGCTGAATCTTATTGTGCATTTAGATTTTTAATTTTGGGCCGTTTTCAAATGAGTCCATATTAAGGTTTGAAGGGTCTAAAATTAAACTTTGTTTGATTTCAACTAAACTTAAATTTTTGGTGTTTTTTTTTTTTATATGCTGAATCTAACCATGTTGTTAGATTTTGGATATCAGACCATTCTAAGTAAATTAAATGTCCCATTTCAAATTTTTAAGATCTTTGACCACATTTATTTTGTGTCAGAAACCTATATTATGTCAAAAATTTGATCACCATCCAAATTCAGACAGTATCAAGCTTGAATATTGTCCCCAAACCTGCCCCAACTGTTCAGGGTTAGACCTCTGCGGTCATATCTGACTGCATTCAGCGAAACATTTTTATGCCCCCGCCATAGCGGAAGGGGCATTAAGTTTTACCCTTGTACGTCTGTATGTCCATCCGTATGTCCCAAAGTTGGTTTCCGTTCTCTAACTTTAGTTTGCCTCAACCAAATGTTATGAAACTTATACACAATGCTTATTAACACAAAACACAGATCAAGTTTGAATTTTGGTGGCGTCACTTCAACAGTTCTAGAGTTATGCCCCTTTACAAATGGAAAAATTGCTGAATTTTTCGTTTCTGTTCTCTGACTTAAGTTAACCTCAACCAAATGTTATCAGACTTATACACAATACTTATTACCACAAAACTCAGATCAAATACAAATTTGGGTAGTGTCACTTTTACTATTTTTCAGTTATGTCCCTTTATAACGTTATATGCAACCGGGGGCATCATCTGTGTCCCATGGACACGTTCCCCATTTATTTTTTATATGCTGAATCTAACCATGGAATTAGATTTTGGATATTGGACCATTAAGTAGATTAATGTCTCATTTGAAATTTTTAAGCTATCTGACCACATTTATTCTGTGTCAGAAATCTAAAATGTGTCAAATATTTAATCACTATCCAAATTCAGAGCTGTATCAAGCTTGAATATTGTGTCCATACTTGCCCCAACTGTTCAGAGTTCGACCTCTGCAGTCGTATCCAGCTGCTCTAGGCGGAGTGCATTTGTAACTGATTCCAAAAAGTGTTGGTTAACCCATTGGGCTATTTTGTTAGTGCTGTTAGAGCAAGTTCATTGCTTCATAGTTACAGAACCACTAGCAACTGTCACAATGAAGGACAGCAATAAAATTTGTTCCTTTTAATAAATATTTTTATACAATGTATAATCTAGGCACCCTTCAATCAGGAATAGTTTAGAAATTATCTTAATTGGTTAAGTGGTTTCAAGGGAGAAGATCTTTGAAAAGTTGATTGACAACAGATGCAAGTAATAGCAAAAGCTCATTATGGTTTTTGACCAAATCAGCTAAAAACCAAAGCTTGGTAAAAAGTATGGCCACACTATACTGGCAGTTTTATTACTGGAAAAACATTTCAAAACAAAAGTTAGTGCAAAATGGTGATTAAGAAACTGAGTGAAATTATTTCTGTAAAAATAAATGGGGAATGTGTCCATGGGACAGAGATGATGCCCCCGCTTGCATTTAATGTTATAAAGGGATATAACTCAAGAACTGTAAAAGTGACGCTACCTAAATTTGTACTTGATCTGAGTTTTGTGGTAATAAGCATTGTGTATAAGTTTCATAACATTTGGTTGAGGCAAACTAAAGTTAAAGAACGGAAACGAAAAATTCAGCAATTTTTCCATTTATAAAGGGGCATAACTCTAGAACAGTAAAAGTGATGCCACCAAAATTCAAACTTGATCTGTGTTTTGTGGTAATAAGCATTGTGTATAAGTTTCATAACATTTGGTTGAGGTAAACTGAAGTTAGAGAACGGAAACAAAACATTTAGCAATTTTTCCATTTGTAAAGGGGCATAACTCTAGAAGGGTTAAAGTGATGCCACCAAAATTCAAACTTGATCTGTGTTTTGTGGTAATAAGCATTGCGTATATTAAAGTTTCATAACAGTTGGTTGAGGCAAACTAAAGTTAGAGAACGGAAACCAATTTTGGGACATACGTACTAACAGACTCAGCATACAAATGTTATGGACCTCAATCCCAATCTACTATTTCGATCAATGACCTTTCAGGTTAGGTCATGTCTGTCATATACCACTGTTCCCAGACCCTTGCCCATCATTGTTTTAGGACACATTATTCTGACTCTAGGCCTATTGTTTTTGCTCTTTACTTCTATATGCTGTGTGCTAAGCAGAGAGGAAGCAATTGCCAATTATTCAGTAATTTCACCCATCTAGGGATCAATCCTTTCACCTCCCACACTCCAGATGAGCACACTACCATGAGATTAACAAGGTGGTTTATTTTTAATGGCAATAATATTAAACCAATTTCCTATCTACTTTTATTGTAACCATCATTTCAATGACCAACGATTTAAGCAGGAAATGTTGATGTTATGTTCAATCATGTGAATGGATTTATCTGTCCAATTGTTTTATCTAGTCGTTTTTCTTGCATTAAGGTATATTTCTCAGAAACCCATTGTAATTTGTTAATGTGACAGCGACCCTCATTACAATGAACTAGAAGTCAACACACAGTCTTCAGCAACAGACGTGTAGATACCATGCATCACTCCAAGTTTACAAATGCTGTGAATAATTTTACAGAATCAATAAATTTTCATGTTGAAGAAATTCTGATATCAGCTATATTGAATGAAGGCAAGATTGTTCCATGCATTCCAAACCAGAACAATCATAAGGAATATCCATATCAAATACTGGTACATAATGGTTAAAACATTATTTCACTTTACTGTGGATTCAATTTTTTTTTTCATGGATACCAATATTCGTGGACTGATGATACATTGTATTTTTGGGGATATTTGATTTCTTGATTTTGACAAAGTATGCATACAAGCCTTTAGAAAATGGATTCTTCATTGAACATTTTAATTTGTGGTTCACATTAACCCACTAAATCCACGAAAAATAGGTATCCAATGAACACAGTATTGTTCCTGAAATTTCAGGACTATCCCTGCAAAATACTGGAAACAAAATGGTAAAACATTATTTCAGT